CAGTGTACCATAGTGTACCATAGTGTCACACTTCCCACAGATTATAATACAACAGTGTACCATAGTGTCACACTTCCCACAGATTATAATACAACAGTGTACCATAGTGTCACACTTCCCACAGATTATAATACAACAGTGTACCATAGTGTCATACTTCCCACAGATTATAATACAACAGTGTACCATAGTGTCACACTTCCCACAGATTATAATACCCATAGATTATAATACAACAGTTTAACATAGTGTCTCACTCCACACAGATTATAACACAACAGTGTACCATAGTGTCACACTTCCCACAGATTATAATGCAACAGTGTACCATAGTGTCATACATCCCACAGATTATAATACAACAGTGTAACATAGTATCACATTCCCCAAAGATTATAATACAACAGTGTATACACAGTGTCACACTCCCACAGATTATAATACAACAGTGTCACACTTCCCACAGATTATAATACATAACAGATTATAATACAACAGTGTACATAGTGTCACACTTCCCACAGATTATAATACAACAGTGTAACATAGTCATCACACTTCCCACAGATTATAATACAACACATAGTGTCTCACTTATTATAATACAACAACAGTGTCACACAGATTATAATACAACAGTGTACCAAAGTGTCACACTTCCCACAGATTATAATACAACAGTGTACCATAGTGTCATACTTTCCACAGATTATAATACAACAGTGTAACATAGTATCACATTCCCCAAACATTATAATACAACAGTGTAACATAGTGTCTCTCTCCACACAGATTATAATACAACAGTGTTACATAGTGTGTCTCTCTCCACACAGATTATAATACAACAGTGTTATATAGTGTTTCACATCCCACAGATTATAATACAACAGTGTTATATAGTGTTTCACATCCTACAGATTATAATACAACAGTGTACCATAGTGTCACACTTCCCACAGATTATAATACAACAGTGTAACATAGTATCACATTCCCCAAAGATTATAATACAACAGTGTACCACAGTGTCACACTTCCCACAGATTATAATACAACAGTGTACCATAGTGTACCATAGTGTCACACTTCCCACAGATTATAATACAACACATAGTGTCACACTTCCCACAGATTATAATACAACAGTGTGTCACAACATAGTGTCATAGTGTCATACTTCCCTCAGATTATAATACAACAGTGTACAACAGTGTACTATATTGTCTCACTTCCCACAGATTATAATACAACAGTGTTACATATTGTCTCACTTCCCACAGATTATAATACAACAGTGTTACATAGTGTCACACTTCCAACAGATTATAATAGTGTTTCACTCTCCATAGATTATAATACAACAGTGTACCACAGAGTCTCACTCCCTACAGATTATAACACAATAGTGTACCACAGTGTACCATAGTGTCACACTTCCCACAGATTATAATACAACAGTGTACCATAGTGTCACACTTCCCACAGATTATAATACCCACAGATTATAATACAACAGTGTAACATAGTGTCTCACTTTCCACAGATTATAATACAACAGTGTACCATAGTATCTCACTTCCCACAGATTATAATACAACAGTGTAACATAGTGTCTCACTTCCCACAGATTATAATACAACAGTGTAACATAGTGTCTCACTTCCCACAGATTATAATACAACAGTGTACCATAGTGTCACACTTCCCACAGATTATAATACAACAGTGTACCATAGTGTCACACTTCCCACAGATTATAATACAACAGTGTAACATAGTGTCACACTTCCCACAGATTATAATACAACAGTGTAACATAGTGTCTCACTTCCCACAGATTATAATACAACAGTGTACCATAGTATCTCACTTCCCACAGATTATAATACAACAGTGTACCAAAGTGTCACACTTCCCACAGAGTATAATACAACAGTGTAACATAGTGTCACATTATAATTAACACAGATTATAATACAACAGTGTAACATAGTGTCACACCTCCCACAGATTATAATACAACAGTGTACAATAGTGTACCATAGTATCTCACTTCCCACAGATTATAATACAACAGTGTAACATAGTGTCTCACTCCCCACAGATTACAATACAACAGTGTAACATAGTGTCTCACTCCCCACAGATTATAATACAACAGTGTACCATAGTGTCACACTTCCCACAGATTATAATACAACAGTGTACCATGGTGTGTCACTTCCCGCAGATTATAATACAACAGTATACCAAAGTGTCACACTTCCCACAGACTATAATACAACAGTGTACCATAGTGTCTCACTTCCCATAGATTATAATACAACAGTGTAACATAGTGTGTCACTTCCCACAGATTATAATACAACAGTGTTACATAGTGTCACACTTCCCACAGATTATAATACAACAGTGTACCATAGGATCACATTTCCCACTGATTATAATACAACAGTGTACCATAGTGTCACACTCCACAGATTATAATACAACAGTGTACAACAGTGTACTATATTGTCTCACTTCCCACAGACTATAATACAACAGTGTAGTGTCACACAGTGTACAACACACTTCCCACAGATATAATACAACAGTCACACTTCCCACAGATTATAATACATAGTGTCACACTTCCCACAGATTATAATACAACAGTGTAACATAGTGTTCTTCCCACAGATTATAATACAACAGTGTAACATAGTGTCACACTTCCCACAGATTATAATACAACAGTGTAACATAGTGTCACACTTCCCACAGATTATAATACAACAGTGTAACATAGTGTCTCACTTCCCACAGATTATAATACAACAGTGTAACATAGTGTCTCACTTCCCACAGATTATAATACAACAGTGTAACATAGTGTCTCACTTCCCACAGATTATAATACAACAGTGTAACATAGTGTCTCACTTCCCACAGATTATAATACAACAGTGTAACATAGTGTCACACTTCCCACAGATTATAATACAACAGTGTAACATAGTGTCTCACTTCCCACAGATTATAATACAACAGTGTAACATAGTGTCACACTTCCCACAGATTATAATACAACAGTGTAACATAGTGTCTCACTTCCCACAGATTATAATACAACAGTGTACCATAGGGTCACATTTCCCACAGATTATAATACAACAGTGTACCATAGTGTCACACTCCACAGATTATAATACAACAGTGTACAACAGTGTACTATATTGTCTCACTTCCCACAGACTATGATCCAACAGTGTAAAACAGTGTACCATGGTGTCTCACTTCCCACAGATTATAATACAACAGTGTAACATAGTGTCTCTCTCCACACAGATTATAATACAACAGTGTTACATAGTGTCACCCTCCCCACAGATTATAATACAACAGTGTACCACAGAGTCTCACCCCATACAGATTATAACACAATAGTGTACCATATTGTACCATAGTGTCACACTTCCATCAGATTATAACACAACAGTGTACAATAGTGTACCATAGTATCTCACTTCCCACAGATTATAATAGAACAGTGTAACATAGTGTCTCACTCCCCACAGATTATAATACAACATTGTAACATAGTGCCTCACTTCCCACAAATTGTAATACAACAGTGTAACATAGTGTCTCACTTCCCACAGATTATAATACAACAGTGTACCACAGTGTCACACTTCCCACAGATTATAATACAACAGTGTAACATAGTATCACATTCCCCAAACATTATAATACAACAGTGTAACATAGTGTTTTCTCCACACAGATTATAATACAACAGTGTTACATAGTGTCACACTCCCCACAGATTATAATACAACAGTGTAACATAGTCTCACTCCCTACAGATTATAACACAATAGTGTATAATACAACAGTGTACATAGTGTCACACTTCCATCAGATTATAACACAACAGTGTACAATAGTGTTCCATAGTATCTCACTTCCCACAGATTATAATACAACAGTGTAACATAGTGTCTCACTCCCCACAGATTACAATACAACAGTGTAACATAGTGTCTCACTCCCCACAGATTATAATACAACAGTGTACCATAGTGTCACACTTCCTGCAGATTATAATACAACAGTGTACCATAGTGTCATACTTCCCACAGATTATAATACAACAGTGTAACATAGTATCACATTCCCCACAGATTATAATACAACAGTGTACCATAGTATCACACTTCCCACAGATTATAATACAACAGTGTACCATAGTGTCATACTTCCCACAGATTATAATACAATGTAACATAGTATCACATTCCCCAATGATTATAATACAACAGTGTACCACAGTGTCACACTTCCCACAAATTATAATACAACAGTGTACCATAGTGTCATACTTCCCTCAGATTATAATACAACAGTGTACAACAGTGTACTATATTGTCTCACTTCCCACAGACTATGATACAATAGTGTACAACAGTGTACCATGGTGTCTCACTTCCCACAGATTATAATACAACAGTGTACCAAAGTGTCACACTTCCCACAGACTATAATACAACAGTGTTACATAGTGTCACACTTCCCACAGATTGTAATACAACAGTGTACCATAGTGTCACACTTCCAGTAGATCTGACCATGTTTTCATTACATTTCCCCCTGATCTATTTATTGGTTTATCACGAAATCATGAATATTTGAATATTCATAAACGTATTTATTCTGTAATATATATTTATTAATACCGAAACCTTCTTCGTTGACATGTCCATCTTACCCGTTCTCCTGAATTTCCTACTAATCGTTTCCTCTTTAAACAGGGTTAACATACCCTCCATACTAAAGGAAACGTGTGTTCATTTGACCTCAACGCTAACAAAAGAAAAAACAATCTAATTTGGTCTTTTTAAATCGTTTTACTTTTTCATGACATTCAACGTATATGAGCAGCAGACGTTCATAGCCATATAGATATGCATCGTTTTCAATCGTTACATGTCTTTGTCGGAGTCTCGTTTCTATCAGTCTCGGTTGGAATACATGGAGGACAGTACCCATTCATAGTAACCCGATACTTTTGTGTAGACCCCAGGCTGGTCAGTTCCAGCACACCCTTTGTGATCCAAACCTCCCCAGCTTGTTATACCTGAAAAAACAATATAAACAGTAATCAAAGAGAAAGGTAATTACCAAACATTTACTAACTAGGTTATGGTATTTGTGCCAGAAATTCTTGTGATGCTGGGTTTAAGACTGGACACCATTTCAACACCCCGGCAACAGCTTCCATATTTTGAATTTCAAATAAATAACCATAAAATCAACTCTGCAAATGATGAAGGTTGTTAAAGCCCTTTATTCTGTACATATTTCGATGCTTCTACATGTTTTCTTGATCAAAATTCATTCAATCTTTTCATAACTGGAGAATACTTATACAGGCTTAGTCTGCTATCAGATACATTTATATGTTGTATGCAATAAAATTTTCTTAAGGTGAAATGAAATATTATGTTGGTATTATAACAAGCGATGAATAACCTGTAAGTGCCCATCGTCCATCTTGTGTAGTCTGACAGAGAAGAGGCCCTCCGCTGTCCCCCTGTCAAAAGAGAGGTAATCAATTGTTTTATATCAATTATCTAAGGGTTGCGTCTTCGCCTGAAATAATAAACCTATTATACTTTATCGTAAATAGATATCTTACAGATCGTGTCATTCGAATATTTATTTACAAAATATATTCTAATTAAATGATTGCTTCATCATGTGCTGGATTGTCACTGGCGGATCCAGAGGACGCACCCTTTCCCCATGAAAAAAAACCATTTCAGTCAAAATCCAAGAAATCATACGGACAGGCACTAATCTATATATGTAGAGAACGATCTCTACAACTTTCCGTAAGAAATAGTAATAAGAGATTTTGAAGGCTATCATAGGCGGACGACAGACCTCCAGGCATACATATCATTTTCACAAAACAAATTGCTTGCAACACCGTCCGGATTTTTTGAGGGGGGCTTCACCCCCTAGCCTCCTCCATAGCTTCACCCCTTGACCCTGCACCACGATTCCGAGAAAAGAGTCGTTGGAGTTGGAAACTATGAAAAAGGAGCTGAGGGAGATTGCTCATATTTTTGAAAAATGTGCGCCCCGTCTTAACCTGAAATCATGGATCCATTTTATGTCTGTCTAAATGTTAACACCAAATCTTATTGATGATTTTGGGATTACGCATTTATCTGCTGTTTTTGAGACACTATTTTTTACATGAGACATAGTTTAAATATAACCGAAGAAAAGTACAATTAATTAATCACGGTATCGATATCTGTGGATGATTTAAACATTACACAGGAAATATAGACGTATTAAGGATGTTAACATCTAATCAGTCTTCCACTATAGACTGTGGTACCTAACATATACTTGTAGTATATAGTGGCCGTAGACTGTAGTACCTAACATATACTTGTAGTATATAGAGGCCGTAGACTGTAGTACCTAACATATACTTGTAGTATATAGTGGCCGTAGACTGTAGTACCTAACATATACTTGTAGTATATAGTGGCCGTAGACTGTGGTACCTAACATATACTTGTAGTATATAGTGGCCGTAGACTGTGGTACCTAACATATACTTGTAGTATATAGTGGCCGTAGACTGTGGTACCTAACATATACTTGTAGTATATAGTGGCCGTAGACTGTGGTACCTAACATATACTTGTAGTATATAGTGGCCGTAGACTGTGGTACCTAACATATACTTGTAGTATATAGTGGCCGTAGACTGTGGTACCTAACATATACTTGTAGTATATAGTGGCCGTAGACTGTGGTACCTAACATATACTTGTAGTATATAGTGGCCGTAGACTGTGGTACCTAACATATACTTGTAGTATATAGTGGCCGTAGACTGTGGTACCTAACATATACTTGTAGTATATAGTGGCCGTAGACTGTGGTACCTAACATATACTTGTAGTATATAGTGGCCGTAGACTGTGGTACCTAACATATACTTGTAGTATATAGTGGCCGTAGACTGTAGTACCTAACATATACTTGTAGTATATAGAGGCAGTAGACTGTGGTACCTAACATATACTTGTAGTATATAGTGGCCGTAGACTGTAGTACCTAACATATACTTGTAGTATATAGTGGCCGTAGACTGTGGTACCTAACATATACTTGTAGTATATAGTGGCCGTAGACTGTGGTACCTAACATATACTTGTAGTATATAGTGGCCGTAGACTGTAGTACCTAACATATACTTGTAGTATATAGTGGCCGTAGACTGTGGTACCTAACATATACTTGTAGTATATAGTGGCCGTAGACTGTGGTACCTAACATATACTTGTAGTATATAGTGGCCGTAGACTGTGGTACCTAACATATATATATGAAAAAATCCTGGGATTCTAGAGTTATTACAGTCATAGAAGAGAAAAAATTAAGTGAAATTGTAAACTCGACATTTTCTATTAGAAACAAGATAAGAAATATTAAAGAAAAGTTAATGACTATAGATACAGAGGAATGGTACAACAGCTTGTGGAATGATAGTAATAGTGTAAACGGTAACAAGTTGAGAACATACAGAACCTTTAAATCTGAATTAGCGCCAGATTCTTATGTCAAACTCGTGACACAAAAAAGTAAACGGAGGGTAATTTTTAATTTAAGATGTGGTTCTCTACCTCTTGCAGTCGAAACCGGCAGATTTACCAAACCTGAGATTCCATTGGAGAACCGTGTTTGCAAAATATGTACAAATGTAAATAATTCGATAGAGGATGAGATACACTTTTTAATTGAATGTAATGTATATAATGATATTAGATCATCCTTATTTAGAGCAGGAATCGAAATAAGAAATGATTTTATAAGCCTTAACGATTTAGAAAAATTTGATTTTATAATGTCTTGCAGGGAATTACAAATTCCACTTGCTAATAATTTATACAATATGTTCCGGAGACGTAGCACTTTAAGTGAGTAATCAATGTTTTAACAGTGTCTTGTAAGCCATTTCTGGCTGAATATCACGTATGATTACATTTTTAGAATATATGCTTTAATTGATTCGTTGGGTAAATCAGAAACTTTTTTATATCGATTGATTATCTATTATTAATTATAATTAATTATTGTAGGTAGCGTAAGTTTGGCAAACCTCGATGGTAGGGTTCTCCCCAACCCTTGGAATGCCAAATTTCACTACTGATGAATGTATCATAAATAATTTTTGCCATGTGTATTGTTTTATTATTTCATATATAACATGTAGCTACAGTATGGATGAAACCTATTTTAGTATTACAATATATATTATAATTTATATATTTCGTATATAATCCAGAGAGCTTGTTAGGTGGGGCTGTCCCAATCACCTGTTCTCTGGATTACGATCTGTGATAAGTAAGTTTTAATTCATGATATTGGATTTACCTGGTTTAGTTTAATATGATTGATCCCAACGGTCTCACTATGGTTTTATATTGTGTACTTTACATATGATGTAATTGTGATATATGACACTTTAATAAACAAATTTGTATTGTATTGTATTGCATATACTTGTAGTATATAGAGGCTGTAGACTGAAGTACCTGACATATACTTGTAGAACGTAGAGGCTGTAGACTGTGGTACCTAACATATACTTGAAGTATATAGATACTTGTAGATCGTAAAGACTGTAGACTGTAGTATCTAACACATACTTGTAGTATATAGTGGCTGCAGACTGTGGTACCTAACATATACTTGTAGAACGTAGTGGCCGTAGATTGTGGTACCTAACATATACTTGTAGTATATAGTGGCTGTAGACTGTGGTACATAACATATACTTGTAGTATATAGTGGCTGTAGACTGTGGTACATAACATATACTTGGGAATTAGATTTAAAACCATTTGATCATAATGCACAAAATTATATCAAATTTAATATTCCGTTTTAAGAAAAAGAAATTGAACTTGGACAAAACGTTTAACGAAGAGCTACGCAATTTCACCTACTCCGAACTTTAACAAAGATTCGACCGTCCAATCGTTAATGAGAGAATGGCCCGAGAGGATCTAATCATTGTACATTTTAAATTCTTCATAACATTATTGATGATAAACGAATCTCCTAAAACAAGATTCGAATCATTAGGAAGAACAAAATAGTGATGTCGCCTAAATACAAGAAAAATATGCCTTGTCAAAATAACAGCTATGTCCTTACGTTGCAGGAATCCGCACTTCCGTCGAGATATCCGGCACAAATCATATGACTGGTCAGTTTGTCCTTGTACAGGTTGCTGCAGCCGGTATGGTCAATGACAGGCACACTAGCTTGTTTAAGGATGCCTGGCCAGGCCGAAGGGTCAAGCTTTGGTAAACCGGCTGAAACAGCTTCTGGCTCTGAAACAGGTTGTGGTGATGAGATTTAGACGGTTAACTCTCTGTATAAGTGATTAGATATTGAAAGGATATAGTTGATTTAAGTGCTTGTAAATCATATGACAAAGCAATATTAAAACCGCATGGTGCCTAACCTGATCGCCAGTGGAATACTGACAACGTGACGGCCGAGATCCATCCACAAGTGTAAGCAAACTTTACTATAAAAGGAGCAACACGCGAGACGACTATGTTGTATTTTTACCTACGTTTTTGCCGTCCCCATCCTGTGATAATACATGTATCCTGCTCTTTGGCATCCTGTCCGAATAAGCACACGGGTTGGATAAAGTCATTGAATGAAACGGGTCTGCCAAGGCGAACCAGGGCAATGTCGTTGTCCATTACTTCTAGTTCAAACTCTGGATGTATTAGTATGCGTACAGCGTGATAGGTATGTATGTGCTGGTCCTTGGTGTTGGCTGTGTTGTTGTATAGTCCTACACGGACTTCAAGGTCGTCCTTGATGTCAAGGTGAAATACCAACCTGGAAGCATATACATCGCTTTTAAAAAGACTTCGGACTTCAAAATATTTATAACACACCGTCTGATGAGCTCAATAAACACAACAGATACACACTGGCTTTATAACTTTATATGGTGAATATTATATAAGCCAATTTGGTCAAATAATGACGTCTAATAACCCACGATTTGTGTAGATCATCGCCAAGACAGCGCTAATCTGTCAAGCCGTACCAAAATAGTGTGTCGATTGAAAGGCCGTGATAGTGGACGTCCAACCAGTGCTATAAATATGCATACCCTTGAGACGAAAGAAGGCGACGTTAGATTACAAAATTTTGCCTCGTAGTTTTATCATAGTTATAACCCGAGAAATTTGAAATATGTTTTTAAAAGAGAATGTCTATAACGGTATTATTAGTTTGAAGGGAGAGATAAATTCTCTATAACTTTATTTTCATAACTTAATTGATTATAGAGGAATGTTTGGACAAATTTCACCAGATGAGACAGGTGACAAAGCAACGACGGATGAAACACGATGACTATACAGTGTCGGTTCATTCGATCTTTTCCGACCCAAATTTCACAAAACATTATAGATACGATCTACTTACTGAAATTCAACAAAACAATGCGCTGCTGATACGATCCATTGTCTGTCGATGATGGTCCCCGCACACACGTGTTGTTGTATTCTTTTAGAAAAAAATGATACCTGAAAGATGGAAATAACAAAAACATTTGTATCAAACATACAGGTTCCCTAGTTGGTGATCTCAACCCTCCGGAAAAGTAGAGACGGAGATAATTAAATTGCATACACTCGACAAGCATTGTGTTGGCCCCCGGGGAGATATCCCCCCATCTCACCTCCATCTTTCAAAATTTGAATATTCTTTTATGTCCCACAATATACCCTAAGTTAATATAAAACTACCAGCTTGTCCTCTTTTTTCAAAAATGACTACTATTTATAAAGGACTATACAGAATTGAGCTTTGATAGGTAAGGGATACTGTTGTTTCCTTATTTCCGAACGCCTTTCATGAATATTCAAGCACAAAAAACTGCTGGAACGCTTAAAATGATAAGACATTGCTTGGCCATATTTCATATCATCTGTTATAACAACATATACGTTGTCATATGATTTCAAGGAAACTCCTGAAATTATTGTTCTTACAACGATGAGTCAGTTAAAACATAATACGTTCGACATTGTCTGTCAACACAGGGAATTATGGAAACTGGTTAATGATCCATGATAACTGTTACACTTTAATGGAATATTTACAAGAATTGATTCTAATGCTGGAACATGACTCTGACTCTATAATTAAGATGTTAAGCCCTATTAGACGTGTATTTACTATATACATACCATCCATGGCCAGCTCCCTTCTACAGCCAGTCCTCCACCAATTATTCTGTGGGTGGGAAATACAGGCTCTATAGGCTGGTCTCCACAAGACGACAGATGTTCTAGTAGCCACTTGTCTTTCCAACGGTCAAAACGTTGTCGTTCGTCAGTACCAACAGCAGTCATTGAATGGTCAGTTCCAGCTCCAGGTATCCCTATTTCTGATGGTGGTTTAGGTATTTCCGGTACAGTCGTTCCTTGTGTCGGCTGTGGTTGTGGTCTGATTGCATCTTGTGTGTTGTTACCTTGCGGTGTTATAACTTCCTGGTTTGTAATTTGAGTATGGTGACCACCGGAAGAATGCAAACTGTGAGTGAGGAAGTAATGCCACAGTCCACTAGTTAGATGAGCGCTGTGGATGTTATGTCCATGTAAACCTTGGTGAAAGATATTCCCTGAAAAATGTCATTAAAATCTAGTCGAACTCCACGTAGGGATTGTACTAAGAGAGAGTAGTGAGTAACGCCTTCAGTGGAACCGAATAATGTATTAAGCTGCACGATATAGATGTTTCATACCTCTAAGACCCTGTATTGATATTGTAAGGGTGTTTAGTGTTGAAATCTAAAAGGCGACTGAAAAGAACCGAAATCAGTCCAAAGACATGTCAATATTTCTTCACTAATGAAAATAGATAATCAAGCGTAAATTTACCGATGAAATAGAATATTAAATAGTTTCAATATAATTAGTTTTAACGTATTTTATTGTCATATTGGATTGGTCAACAAAATGTATAGATAACTTCATATAGCTATGTGTTTTAGATCAGTTTTGTCCTCTTGTTTTATTATAGAGCTAGAGGTTAAATCCAAACTACCCAACATCTATAAAGATCTGTGTTGAATGTGTTAATATTGTTTACATTATATCACCACCTCCATCGCAGTTGAGAGGATTAACATAATAACGTTTTCAAGTTATTAACTGTACAATATCCATCATAGGTTTTTAATTTCTATCAATTTTTAGTTTTATGATAGAAAAGGCGAGATTTCATTCACTATATAAATCAAAGTATGGTGACGTTTTACAAGCCATATCTAATCAAAACTTATAACTATTATGTTCTCTGGCAGAAAATCTTGATTGATGTAACTCAAATCTGCGCGTTATCATATTGATAATTGTCCCGATTTCAATTAAATTAGTAAATAGTACAATTAGCTATGCAATTTTAATGATCTATTTTTGGCAGTTATTCTTTTATCCATAACTATAGGTATTTGATAAATAAAGGATATACAAGCATTCATCTCATTATGTCACGTAGTTAGGCTTTTTAAATTCTGCAGTTTTCTGCTTGTTATTTCAAATTTAACCTTATGTGACCATCTGTATCAATATCACCTATACTTCACACTAATCGATACTTAGTGTGTTAAAATACCGCCCCCATAGTGTGGCCCAAATTTAATTCTGATTTACTCAACAAAAGCAGTAATACTAAACCTGATAATACGTGTGGTAAATGAATGGTTCGTCCAGACACTGTTAGCAGACAGGAAAACGCAACAAAAACGAGCATGGTTGGCATTCGTTGAATAACACACAGAAACAGCATATCACATCGAAGTATCTTAAAATTGTGAACACAGGATACATCATAAACTTAATTATTTCATTTAGGCGTACTTCAAGACTTGTCAATCTTGCTTACAGGCTTATCAGTGCGTCGGAGAGAAGCAAACACACCCGAATACTATTATGATAAAATGATCTCCAGTAAAGCCCAAGCTTGAGTGGTTAAAGGAAATGCGCCGATAAAAGACCAAATAAAGACAAGGAACAATTCGTAAATCCAGAAGGTTAATACATTAAGCAGAAGTTCCTAAAGATAGTTTGACAAATTAGTTGACCGAAGTTCTTGCTAACCGAGTACTGGCCAATCGCAACATCGTTCCTACTGATGAACATGGAACGTCTGTGCCATCGTCACATACCTAGATACCGACTCTGTAGTTAAAGCCAGATGACGTCATATGTTAAAGGTTAGATTTGCCTCACCCGAATACCATTCAGTCATGTCTTATCACTGTATCTAATCGAAGAGTAAATAAACAACAAAAACTCGTAAAAGTGCATTTGAGTCGATATGGCTTGACCTATATTTCATCTCATATTATTCATTTTTTCTAGTGTTAATAATACGAAATTGCAAGAAGCATTTGCTATGAAACAGACAACATTTGATAATGTATGATGATCACATGTGGTGATAATGTCATGTGACTGTAGGTGTGTTTGTGTGTCTTTTGATAATGTAATGTGACTGCAGGTGTCTGTGTGTCTTTTGATGATGTCATGTGACTGCATGTGTGTTTGTGTGCCTTTTGATAATGTCATGTGACTGCAGGTGTGTTTGTGTGTCTTTTGATAATGTAATGTGACTGCAGGTGTCCATGTGTCTTTTGATAATGTCATGTGACTGTATGTGTGTCTGTGTGTCTTTTGATAATGTCATGTGACTGTAGGTGTGTCTGTGTGTCTTTTGATGATGTAATGTGACTGTTTGTCTGTCTGTGTGTCTTTTGATAATGTAATGTGACTGTTTGTCTGTCTGTGTGTCTTTTGATAATGTAATGTGACTGTTTGTCTGTCTGTGTGTCTTTTGATAATGTAATGCGACTGTTTGTCTGTGTGTCTTTTGATAATGTAATGCGACTGTAGGTGTGTCTTTTGATAACGTAATGCGACTGTATGTGTGTCTGTATGTCTTTTGATAATGTCATGTGACTGCAAGTGTGATTGTGTCTTTTGATTGTGTAATGTGACTGAAGGTTTGTCTGTGTGTCTTTTGATAGTGTTATGTGACTGAAGGTGTGTCTGTGTGTCTTTTGATAGTGTTATGTGACTGAAGGTGTGTCTGTGTGTCTTTTGATAGTGTAATGTGACTGAAGGTGTGTCTGTGTGTCTTTTGATAATGTAATGTGACTGTTTGTCTGTCTGTGTGTCTTTTGATAATGTAATGCGACTGTTTGTCTGTGTGTCTTTTGATAATGTAATGCGACTGTAGGTGTGTCTTTTGATAACGTAATGCGACTGTATGTGTGTCTGTATGTCTTTTGATAATGTCATGTGACTGCAAGTGTGATTGTGTCTTTTGATTGTGTAATGTGACTGAAGGTTTGTCTGTGTGTCTTTTGATAGTGTTATGTGACTGAAGGTGAGTCTGTGTGTCTTTTGATAGTGTTATGTGACTGAAGGTGTGTCTGTGTGTCTTTTGATAGTGTTATGTGACTGTAGGTGTGTCTGTGTGTCTTTTGATAGCGTAGTGTGACTGTTGGTGTGTCTGTGTGTCTTTTGATAATGTAATGCGACTGTTTGTCTGTGTGTCTTTTGATAATGTAATGCGACTGTAGGTGTGTCTTTTGATAACGTAATGCGACTGTATGTGTGTCTGTATGTCTTTTGATAATGTCATGTGACTGCAAGTGTGATTGTGTCTTTTGATAGTGTTATGTGACTGTAGGTGTGTCTGTGTGTCTTTTGATAGCGTAATGTGACTGTTGGTGTGTCTGTGTGTCTTTTGATAATGTCATGTGACTGTAGGTGTGTCTGTGTGTCTTTTGATGATGTAATGTGACTGTTTGTCTGTCTGTGTGTCTTTTGATAATGTAATGTGACTGTTTGTCTGTCTGTGTGTCTTTTGATAATGTAATGTGACTGTTTGTCTGTCTGTGTGTCTTTTGATAATGTAATGCGACTGTTTGTCTGTGTGTCTTTTGATAATGTAATGCGACTGTTTGTCTGTGTGTCTTTTGATAATGTGTGTAGGTGTGTCTTTTGATAACGTAATGCGACTGTATGTGTGTCTGTATGTCTTTTGATAATGTCATGTGACTGCAAGTGTGATTGTGTCTTTTGATTGTGTAATGTGACTGAAGGTTTGTCTGTGTGTCTTTTGATAGTGTAATGTGACTGAAGGTGTGTCTGTGTGTCTTTTGATAGTGTTATGTGACTGAAGGTGTGTCTGTGTGTCTTTTGATAGTGTAATGTGACTGAAGGTGTGTCTGTGTGTCTTTTGATAATGTAATGTGACTGTTTGTCTGTCTGTGTGTCTTTTGATAATGTAATGCGACTGTTTGTCTGTGTGTCTTTTGATAATGTAATGCGACTGTAGGTGTGTCTTTTGATAACGTAATGCGACTGTATGTGTGTCTGTCTGTCTTTGGATAATGTCATGTGACTGCAAGTGTGATTGTGTCTTTTGATTGTGTTGTGTGAATGTGACTGAAGGTTTGTCTGTGTGTCTTTTGATAGTGTTATGTGTGAGGTTTGTCTGTGTGTCTTTTGATAGTGTTATGTGACTGAAGGTGTGTCTGTGTGTCTTTTGATAGTGTTATGTGACTGTAGGTGTGTCTGTGTGTCTTTTGATAGCGTAATGTGACTGTTGGTGTGTCTGTGTGTCTTTTGATAATGTAATGCGACTGTTTGTCTGTGTGTCTTTTGATAATGTAATGCGACTGTAGGTGTGTCTTTTGATAACATAATGCGACTGTATGTGTGTCTGTATGTCTTTTGATAATGTCATGTGACTGCAAGTGTGATTGTGTCTTTTGATAGTGTTATGTGACTGTAGGTGTGTCTGTGTGTCTTTTGATAGCGTAATGTGACTGTTGGTGTGTCTGTGTGTCTTTTGATAATGTCATGTGACTGTAGGTGTGTCTGTGTGTCTTTTGATGATGTAATGTGACTGTTTGTCTGTCTGTGTGTCTTTTGATAACTGTTTGTCTGTCTGTGTGTAATGTGACTGTTTGTCTGTCTGTGTGTCTTTTGATAATGTAATGTGACTGTTTGTCTGTCTGTGTGTCTTTTGATAATGTAATGCGACTGTTTGTCTGTGTGTCTTTTGATAATGTAATGCGACTGTAGGTGTGTCTTTTGATAACGTAATGCGACTGTATGTGTGTCTGTATGTCTTTTGATAATGTCATGTGACTGCAAGTGTGATTGTGTCTTTTGATTGTGTAATGTGACTGAAGGTTTGTCTGTGTGTCTTTTGATAGTGTAATGTGACTGAAGGTGTGTCTGTGTGTCTTTTGATAGTGTTATGTGACTGAAGGTGTGTCTGTGTGTCTTTTGATAGTGTAATGTGACTGAAGGTGTGTCTGTGTGTCTTTTGATAATGTAATGTGACTGTTTGTCTGTCTGTGTGTCTTTTGATAATGTAATGCGACTGTTTGTCTGTGTGTCTTTTTATAATTTAATGCGACTGTAGGTGTGTCTTTTGATAACGTAATGCGACTGTATGTGTGTCTGTATGTCTTTTGATAATGTCATGTGACTGCAAGTGTGATTGTGTCTTTTGATTGTGTAATGTGACTGAAGGTTTGTCTGTGTGTCTTTTGATAGTGTTATGTGACTGAAGGTGAGTCTGTGTGTCTTTTGATAGTGTTATGTGACTGAAGGTGTGTCTGTGTGTCTTTTGATAGTGTTATGTGACTGTAGGTGTGTCTGTGTGTCTTTTGATAGCGTAATGTGACTGTTGGTGTGTCTGTTTTTCTTTTGATATTGCAATGTGACTATCAAAAGACACACAGACACACAAAGAGTCACAATGCATTATCAAAAGACACACATACAGTCACAATGCATTATCAAAAGACACACAGACACCTACAATCGCATTACATTATCAAAAGACACACAAACACACCTGCAGTCACTTTATGTTATCAAAAGACAAATAGGCACGCATATAGAGGCATTACATTATCAAATGGCACACTATCAAAAAACACATAGACATACCTACAGTCATATTTGTTATCAAAAGACACACCAAAAGTCACGTTACTGACTGCTGTGTCAAAGTTTTGACAAGGTCGAAAAATAGCAATACTTTGTTGGCTACCTTTCCTCAACATTCCAAGTTTCAACAGTCACATTATCAAAAGACGCAAAAACACATCTACAGTCACATTACACTATCAAAAAACACATAGACATACCTACAGTCATATTTGTTATCAAAAGACACACCAAAAGTCACGTTACTGACTGCTGTGTCAAAGTTTTGACAAGGTCGAAAAATAGCAATACTTTGTTGGCTACCTTTCCTCAACATTCCAACCAATTTTTAGCTCAATTGCACCAGTGGAACGGGAGAAGAAATTTAAAATATGTTTTTCACAATTGCTTCCATGGCGGCCTTCTTGGATTTCAGACCGAACCGAAAAATAACAACATTTGGTCAGGACCATCTCAGGATCATTTCATGTAAGTTGGAGCTCACATAGCGGGACATACTTGTCCTTTGAGATATATACAGAGTTACTGTTCTTGGCGAGTGAACAGTTTCTTGTGCATGAAAGCCCGAGTTTGTTGAGTTTTCCGTCCGTTGTTCGCTATCGATGAAAAATTAACTCTATTACTTTCGGCGAATTATAGTTGAAGTATTCATGAAAATGTACAATTAATTTCTAATTTAAAAGCAAACGGAATTTCACCGTCAAAAAAGGTTATCGTGAAGTCAGGAGATAGTCCGTGACTGTATACCGAGAGTACGCCTTGCAGGGGTTCCCC